AGAAAACAGGATAAAGATAGATTGTCGGTGTTTGAACACCGCTGTCTACGTAGCATTGCACGTGTCTGGTGGGTTAGCCGGATGAGCAATGCTGAGGTTAGGGGCAGAGTTTTGGGTAAATACGGCCGCCCACTGGAGCAAGTGGTGGATCTCCATAGATTACGTTGGCTGGGGCATGTGTTACGCATGTCACCAGGTAGGTTACCACGGACCGAAGCAGATACCGAGTGGAAAAAAACCAAGGGTAGTCAAGTCAAGACCTGGCACGAGAGTATAAAAACCCTAAACAGGAAACTGGGTTACATAGGTCCTGTTAAGCTCCCTGGCTGGGGACCTCGGGACGATCGTAACCGATGGTTAGAGACACTGAAAGATATGGCTGGGTGTCGTAAACAGTGGCGTTCGTGCATCTCCTTAATTTCTTTGCAACCTTAGACCACTGAACTTCTCCATTTTCTTTTCGACTCCACTTTCAACTTTCCTTTCTTCTCCTATTCTTCATCCAAATGGGCAACCAAAAGACAGCAACCAAAACCGGCGCACGAACGTGCATGGTTAATGGTTGTTCAAACTGAAACTGAAACCAAGTTTCTAGCAGCATTATTATCCCCAAAATGGTACTTTTGCATCCTTATCAATTTCGTGAAGTTGCTTATTTTTTCCACATAGTGATCGTACGTTTGATGAGCAAATAACAGGGATGGGCATTTTCTGAAGTTTTGTCCTACGTAAAGCCACTTGCCAGCCTACACCAAATTGTCTTGATGTAAGACTACAAAGATTATCTCCATCTACAACATATGACATATCTTATATATTTCGGTTGAATGTAAACCCCGTTTTCTTAGTAAATATCGTTCCATCGTGGCATCAAACACTTTTACGTCGCAGCCTCCAGTACAACTTCTATTGTGCAGACGCTTGCTGATGTACATGTATCCTAACTTTCCAACTACACGGAACGCTTTCTTTGTCGTTTGTGGTGCTTTTACCCATTCATAATCCTGTAAATTTCCCCACAAGAGGAAACGCGCAGAATAAACTTGTTTTCGAACGATCCTGTCCTGTTTACTGTGCGAAGAGAAGTCCCTCTGGGAAACTTCGATCATTGTATTATAAATGTTTTGCCGAAAGTCTACTCAAACATCATAGTACAGCGACATGTGTATCCAACCGGAAGATTTTTTATAGTCTGTGTGACCCGGCCAACATCGCATCACTGAGAGAAATGGTCTCGTACAAATTTTGATCAGTTCTTTGACCCAAGTGTCTGAGTCGAGTGTGAACACCTCAAGAGCTATTTTAACTTCTGCCTCCCAAGGCCTCAGTATGGTTGGGGGTGGGTGTCTGAGGTTGCGGCTGGTCACCCTGCCCTTGCACCTCACGAAATGCCCCCATACGACCAAGCGT